GAAAGAGCTGCCGTGGGATCAGGAAACAGTGACCACCGACTTCCACTCGACCGGTCCTTCGCTTGTCTCTAATCCACTGACTAAGAGTCTCAAAACAGGTTTCTTATTTTGGGAAAATTTGTCCGTTTAACTTATCTTCGGACAATCATGAAAATAACAACGACCTCACTAAGTTAAACACAAGGAATCAAATTTACCTACTGAACAGTAATAGGGATCAGAGGAATGCAACTGTAAAAGTAAGGCAAAGACCCCAACATGTAATCGCGTGACAGTAAGGGAATTTGATTTCCGCTGTCAAGGTCGTGTTATTTTAATTAAGCGAATGTCACGATTACATATTCGAAGGTCATTCGTCTTTCGCTTCTCGACTTGTTGAATTCCTCGTTTGTAAAAGTGCTCTACAGTTATCTACAAATTATTTAGTTTTGCGCTTCAGTCGGAAGAAAAGAACTTTAGCTATGGGTGAATTTTCCCAAGAAATTCGATTGGTTGAATCCTTACCTCTGAATTCCAGGTAAGACTAATTGCAGCGGTTCAGGAGATATTTTGATGACAGTCGTTGTTTACATTACCCTTATTTGCTGAGATGCCCCGAACAACGTGCTGTAGTATATCTATTATCGCGTATACAGTCGTATGTAATTCTAAAAAATACCAAAAGCGAAGCAATATCTGATTCAATTTTGATCGGGTCGGTAGATAGCGTAAGTGTTCAGGATGTTGGATAAACATTCGAACGCGAGGTCGGTACCTTTTTCATAAATTTCGATGAGAAACATCAGAGCGCTTAAACTATTGTCAAAACCTTTGGAAAGAGACGTATTCGTGAAAAATTCGACTCGGGAGCTCGATGCGTTTACATGCTTGCATGTAAAAAATTCTCAGAACAAACTAAGCGTGTCGTGAACTCAAGGAAGCAAGGTGTGCATGTTGATCAAACGGTTGTAATATTTCCGTTGCTCGCTTGTCTTCATAAATCTACCGCTTTTGTCTCTCACTTATCGGCTGTCAATCATGTCTAACGCGGGTAAGTGTGTTTCACAAAGTGGAGACGTTTGTAATTTGATTTGACCGTTTCAGATAGAATGCAGCACTTGAAGTCAATCTTACTTGTTGAATGGAGTGCGAGATCCGTAGTCAGTTCTGATGACTGGAAGATACGTTGCGAGGTTTTTTTCAATCGCCGAGACCAACTCTTTTGAGAGAGCAATTCAAATAAGCTCACATACGGGGCAAACCAAGACCCTGAAGACTCTATGTTACTTGGAATACAAAACAGAGATATGCATGTTGTTGATTGCAAATAGGACCCGAACTTAGTGTTCATTTCGTATTGCTGACTTCCAGAGAATTTAGTGTCATCACCTTTCATTACGCAACGTTATGTAACAAGCAGTAAAAATATATTCAGTTGTGCACGTTACGTAGGTGAGATTAAGTTAAGTAAGTTAGCGGCTGTGTATCTAGCGGAAAAGTTTATTTTCACGTTCTTTTTTTATAACGGTGTTCTTTGCCCTTAAAAAAAAACAAAAAAGCGGTAGGGTTTGTGTGCGCCACATCGAGAAAAATCGAACTTTCGGTTAAACCGATAATTTTCCTTTAACAGGTATATTTTTGAGGAATTCGCCGAGGAAGCGAGAAAGTTCCTATTCATGGACGGGAAAGCTGTGACTATGATATAATTGTGGGTAAAGCGCTACACTACGTGGTTTCCTACGCTTATCTCGTGTTCTCCCAATCTCCCAGGTGTTTACATCAGGCTATGTAAACACGGAAACCATTTTACATTTCTTCAATATATCAGCCATTTGTTACAAGAAATAAAATTATATTTTATTATTGTTCTTATTCTGTTGAAAAAATTGTTGGAAACTCTAATTAAATCTAAGATTTTAAAGTTCACATTGGAAAAATCGACGGAAGAAAGCTCTAGTTCTCCAATTTGTATTAATAGTCTCTATGCCCATGAAGTCACTCTGTAAGGCCGGGCTCTTCACAAGGCCGATCAACGTGACTGCTGGGGCCTGCCGCTCTAACCTGTAAACACAATAATCAGAACACTGTGATTAAACGGCAAGGGAGAACAATAGAGTGTATAAATTGCGTTTGATTATTGAGATGGAAGCCAGCCGTGAAGTATGAAATATGAAAACCATAAACTTCATGATGTGTGTTAAAGGAGCAAAGCACTAAATCGAACAACAAACAGGGTGACTGTTGTCAACTCGACATTAAAAAGAATATCAAGGATCCTAACTGACAAATATGGATCAATATCAGTATATGGGCGACTGCCCACCTGCCCCTCCCACAAATATCACTGTAAAACAGAAATTTCAGTTAATTGGAGTAAAGTAATGAGCTGTACCTTGCACGGGTTGAAGGCTGACATAGTGCACCTCATGAATATGTCCCAGCACAAGAGGTTTGCTTTCGTCAACTGAAAAATGTGGCGTAATGATTACATCATGGCTATGGGATAGACTGCTGACCACACGAATGCACGTTTCAAAGCAGTTTGCTGCAGCACACAGAATCACGTGATCACCCCAAGCGCCATCTTGTTCCATGTGTACTAGGTATTCAGTCCATGTTTGATGTCCATGGACAAAGTCAAACAGATCTGTTCCATTCGGCTGTAAGAAAGATCAGTTAAAGAAGGAAATTTAAAAGGATTGTTGATGGGAACTTGAGCGCGTGGAGTACGAGTCAGGGAGTAATTTTATCAGAATGGTACGAGACGACCTTTAATTGGCAATGTACTGTATAGTAACACATTTTCTGCTTTGCAAACTGCAGGAAAACAACAAGAAAGATCCATCATTCAGAGAATGACTATAATTCTGTCATCTGATGGAGGTTTAAAGGAAATTCTTCTGAAACTGAAATATTCAAATGACTAAAACCGTGGTGGCCTGCTTCTCCGGACACCACAATAAGTAACATATGAATTTAACTGTAACCAACGTCGCTGCGTGGCTTCTTAAACAATAAAGTTAAATATCTTAAGTTCCCCTTTCCACCAGGGTCACAAGCTGGTTTCAGAGCTCCTGAAAAAAAAAGACCATCATTCCATAAAGAAGGAGTAACAATACTCCTGGTCACTTCACGCTGTGAACACTGGGATAGGTTCTGGTGGTGTTGGCCAAGTGGCCCGTATTATCACTTAACCCTTATCATACTCAGACAATAACATCACGTGACATACTCTGTCAAACATACTAACATCAACTTACAAGTTTAGGGTTACTCCTGAGGTACTGAACCAAGGTTTGTCTTAATTCACCATGCGGGATTTTGATTCCCTTAAAAATTTCCAGTTGTTCGGACAAGGCATAGAACATGCAATTTCCTAATCCTTGATTGTCAGATACTCTGAAGCCCCTGTCTGATGCAATATTCTGAAGCCCCAATGATAGATCTGTTCTGCTCTTGACTTTGCTTGCATCTAGTTGCATCTGCTGAAGTTCCTGGATGATTCGGTCAAGAGAACCTTGAAAACACAAGGTTTTTATTAATCTAACTACAGTAAAAAAGCGAAACAATCGTCTGCTGGAAAATAACAATTCCCAATCTAGTAAGAGAAACTTTTAGGGTAAAAAGGAAAAGAGCTTCAACCACCAGACTTCCGCTGTTTTGTCCAGCTACTTTTTGAGTTCGATTTCTGTCCGTGAATGAATACACCAATAATCAAGAGAGAAGAAGCAGAGAAGAAAAATTAACAACGAGGTCTACACTCTGACATATCTGCGTAACTGGAAAATAAATCCTGGAAAAAAAGAACGGGCTTCAAAAATATACCGATGTATTCCGTCTGTCGTATGGATATGTGTTTACTTCAATATTGTTTCGAAAGACAACTGTATTGTGAATAGAACATAAACTTATTTTAATAGGAACAGTAAAAGCTCCCCATGTCTCCTTGTTTCAGACCTGGTTTCAGACAATTTCTGGTAGTTTCCAACTGGATGAAAACTTCAAATGACTCACAGAAATAAATAACACTAAGCCGTCCGTCCGGATCAGGAGGTGAAAGAAAATCAAATTTGTTTGTACATGCTTTCCGTTTGTGACTTAAGAGTGCAGGGGTATAAGTAAAAACATGTCTCAGAAGCAAAGAGCACCGTGCTAAGTTTTTACGAAGCAAAGCTGGCCTGAAGTCAAAAGTCAAGGAAAGAAAATTATTCGATCTCCTTGTAACTTGTCTGTACTTCTTTGGGGATGTCAATTATGATGAGTTATTAAATTCTTTACTCACTTGGAGTCAGTAATGAATCAACTGTTGGTTGTTTAGTTGACGTGTCACTAACTTCGGCCTGCCGAGCTCTGAAACTTGTGTCTCGTCTTTTAGAAGCTAAAAAGATAGAAAGAAGCTTTTATTTTAATAACACAGTAAACAACATGAGGATAAAACGATTGATTACTATTCATGTTCAACATCTTTTTTATACGAGGGGTTCATGCTTTCCGTCACAGTTAATAAGAAACCGAAAGCCAAGTAGCCCCCTAAAATACTTTTTGAAGGAAGTTCAAAACATTCTCACCATGAACTATGTCCCACATCTTCTCCACAAGACTGTCACACTGTTTCTCCCAGCTAAACTTCTCTTCATATGAACTCCTCAGTTGTTGAATATCTTGAAGTCGATCTGATCTTTTCTTCTGTCGAACACCAGCAATTGCCTTTGCCCACTCCTCAGGGTCCTCAGACTCCACCACGAATGATTTGCCTGATGGTAAAGTGCACAGTGCTTCACCAAATCCTGAGTTTCCACTGACAAGAATGGGAAGACCAGCAGAGAACGCTTCTAACGCTGTCAAACCAAAACCCTCTGTTCTGGAGGGCATGATGCAGAGATCAACTTCATAAAATAATTCTTTCAATCCCTCTTCGCTTTGCACGAACTTCCTCACGGTCAGCTGGCTTTTATCAATTCCACTCTTCAGTAAATTGTCTGCAACCTCATCCTGTTTACCTTCAGGTGCACCCACGAAGATAAGACGGTAAGACTTGTCTTTTAATTCAACTATTGCTCTGGCAGAAATATCGTAGCCTTTCAGACGAAAGTCCTCTAGATCACCACGGCCAAACGTCAGGACCTTGAACTTGTTACGCTCCTTTGAGGCTTGTTTTACCACACAGAACTCAGGGAAAGTTCCAGGAGTCAGTTGAAGGATGTCATCCTCACTCTTGCATGAGCCGAGCTGAACGGAGAAAGCGTCTGTTAGCTTTGGTCCAACTGCTAGCACAGCATCTGCCAACTTACACAACGCCACTTCAGTTAAATTCTTCTCTTGACCCTTGGAAATAGCCTTGGAATAGTTTTTGTGCATTGCAAGTTCTTCGGGTGCAGTGTGCACTACTTGTACCCACTTGCACTGGTGCCATTCTTTAATAAATTGAGCTTGTTTACCAAGCTTTGCTCCATGACCCAGTACTATGTCAATGTCCAGATCTCTCGGTGGAGCACTCAGCCAGTCAAGGGAGTTGGCATAGCCTGGACGTTTTTGTGCCTCTCTGAGGGATACATTGTGAATTCGAGCCATTCTCCTCTCTTCTTCAGAACAGGCAAACTGTGGGACAAGGAGAGTAACGTCCACGTCAGAGTGTTTGGCCAACAGAATGGCAAGCTGTCTGTTGATGGTGGACAAGCCTCCCATTGACGAACTCCACTCACTGCCAAGGAGAGTCACCTTCAATGCTGTGGCAGACTTCTTTGGATTGATTTCACTTGCTTCATCATATGATCTAGCAATTACATTTGAAGAGGACAACACCTGAAGAAAAAGGTCATATAGGATTATGAAAAAAAAAAACTTTTGGTGTGGTCATACAAAATTTTTATTAATCAATACTTTACCAAAGAAAAACAAAAGAGTATAAAATTCAAAAATAATTTCATCTTGTTAGAAATTTTTTGTGACTTATATTTAAAACTGAAGACAACCTATCAAGGCTCCCTTTCTCACCACTGATAACAGTCCAATTGATATTCACATCAAGTAAATTAGGGGAGCAAAGCAAAGATGAAACTGAGGCCAGAAATCTTTTCGTGAAAAATCACTATAATCAATCATACCTGGCTTCTTCTTTTCAAGAACCATTTCTTTAATCCACAAACTGGTGCTACCTTATTGCAAGGTTTTCGCTTACAGATGTCCGGCTGACCTTCGTTTGCATCAATGAGGTGGAAGCAGTCCTTGTGTGTACAAGTGGTTTTTACTTGGTCTGAGCATGCACGACGTGTTTCTTCTGCCCCTTGATGACAGTAAGGACATGCAACACACAGCCTATACTTCATTCCTCTCAGGTATGGCATTTCTTGTGACAAATTCTTTAGGGTGTCTTCAAGAAATTCACGAACAAGAGTTGCTAGTTCGATGGAGTTCTGTCCTTCGGCCTGATCACTTTGTGCTTCTCTTTGTCTCAAGGTTACCTTCACAAATCCTGTTTTGCATATGAGGACAAAATCATGAATATCTTTCCCAATAATAAACCATGCTCCATTTTGGTATAGGGTGGGTTGATGCGTGGCCCATGTCTCTGAACACCAACGAATACATCGGGAGACAAGCTGCAAGAAAAGACCATGAGGGACAAAGCCATGGACAAAGAGGAGATACAATGGACAAGGGTCAGTTAATGATAATTCCATTTTACAAAGTTCTACAGGCGATGACTTCAACTGAGCTGGTACAAAGTACTTCTCGTCAGTTGGGGAAGCTGAGAACTTAGCGATCAAACCAAATCGCTCCATCATGTCAAGGATGTCTGCCTTAATGATTCCTCCCGTGATAAAGCTGGAGAACACATGATCAACATGTTCCATGCTAAGGATGCCACTTGCTTCAAGTTCCTGCCAGTACTTAGCATATAAAGGAGTCTAGAAAATATGTAAATGACAGCAATTCCAGATTAGAGAAGTCCACTAAATGTTCCTTTTGAATGTTCGCCACGTATATGTACAGAAACTAGAAAAGTTTGTTTCAATCAGTGTACCAAAGTGGTCAGAAATTACACTCTTAACGTGCAATTTTGTATCTTGGGCTGCTCAGAGGTGACTATTAGTTGTTATTCACCACTGCAGAAGCCAATTAGCACATGCAAAAAGAACTATTCACTTGTGTGAATACAATGATTGTGAATGGTAGCAAGTCAATGCAAGTCTGTTGTAAAGTAAAAAGGCTAAATCAATTTATGACCTGAAAAGCTGCAAAATGTACACAAAATAACTTGGGTTCAGCAGTTGTAAAGATCAAAGCATCACAGCTGTTGCATTAGTTGCCTATTTATTTAAAAAAATGTCATGCTCATTTTCTAATGATCTAAATGAATGACCATTTTGCAGGTAAGGCTTTCCAAAAATGAAATTTTTTTTCTCACCTGTTCATTGAAAGGTGGAACGGTTATCAGCTGTTTGAACAGATCAATCAACCACTGAGCCTTAAGTACAACTGTACTGTGGTGCTTGATTATCATCCCAAGGCCATGATAAAAACTGATCATGGCCTCAAACTCTTTTGCATCTTTCATGAAACAATCTTTCCTAGCATAGTGCTCAAGTTGTTGCAGATTTCTGTAATAAATCTGTTTGGCCAGCAAAGCTTCAATCACCTTTTCAAACAAAAACCATCTAGAAGGCAACAGAATAATTAAAATGTATTAGGGTTTTAAATTGGATATTAACTTCAGTCAGACATGTATTAATTTGTAGTCTTCCAGTGTTAATTCATCTATTTTCTTGGTCTAGCTATCTCCAAACTTTAGGAAAATTCAAACATGGTTATGTTTTTCACACAAACATTCTCCATTCAAAGAGCTGTGCCTTCTCAAATATCCATCAGACATTCACACCTTTTTAAAGAAATAGTATTGTCACAATGTCATGAATTAGAGTTCTGTTTGTTTGCACATAAATAACTGCTGTGTATTTGTACAGTCTGATGTTTTTAAGGGTTTCAATAACTTCAAACTAGTGGAGGTGAGTTATTTTTGTTTTCACATACATTTACATACATATACAGTTATGCTGAAAACACTGACTACTCTTCAAAGTACTATTCATGATGGTTTAAATAAAATATTAATCCCAAAGTCCATGAAATGAGGTTTGCCAGGTAAAAAGATATTTTGGTTTACCTGACAGGTATTTTCTCCCCCATATAAGGCTCCTGCCTCAATACCTCCAGGATTCTGTTCTGCAATTCATCTATTCCATCTCCTTTTCCTTCTTCCTCAGCTGTATATGCTTAGGAAATGAATTCAAAGCATAATGTAATACAAAAACATGTGCTTACAATGAGAATAGTTTGTATCATACATGTGTGATAACAGATATTTTATGCTGTAGCTGACAACATAGCTCAGAAGATAATTCTCCTTTTCCCAAAATCATCTTCTGTTCCTTATTTTAAACTCTGAGATTAATGAATCTGTCAGCAAAAATTTATAGGCCCCAGTATAGTGATGCTGGTACATAAAGTAGCTGAAAGCTAAGAAGAGCGCAGCTAATGAAAAAAAAAACAACTGCAACAACTCTAACTAGCTTCCAGTATTAGCCTGAACTCATTCAACCAGGGTGGTATCCTTCCCTTACCACTCCCACTGAGACATTCTACATGTCTACCAACCTTTTTAAAATTATAATTACACACAGCAGAACTGCTAGATGACATGTAAATATGAGTCAGACAATAATTATTGTATGCTCAATGCTTGTCAACCATCTACCAAATGAGCCTTTGATTAAAAGGAAAAGGTCACAAATCAAGTGTTCTTGGAATTGACCCATAGACGAGCTAGTATGCAATTACAAAACCATCAATTACTGCAAGTAACACATTGTTAAGGATACAATATGACATGAGATATCTTACCTGTTTTATGTTTTTCTCTCTGCTTTCGAATCTTCTGGAAAAATTTCTTAATCAAGTTTTGTCCTTGACTGTTGTCAATCAAGTTTTGTCCTTGACTGTTGTCAATCAAGTTTTGTCCTTGACTGTTGTCAATCAAGTTTTGTCCCTGGGTGTTGTCAATGCAGAATAAGGGTCTGACCACATGCTTCTCATATTCCATACCAGAAATTCTCTCCTGTATTTGTTTCTTTATTACTTCTATGTCTTCAAATGGTTTGTCAGCATGTGTTCCAACAATAAACACTGGAGGACGGAGGTAGGGCAGCTTATGTTGTGCACCATCATCTGGGTCATCAGTTGCCAGGGAAACACCGTGTACTGTAGCCAGCCATGACAGCAAATTCTCCATGTTTGTTTCATTGTTAGGGTTTTCCAATTTCACATCATTACTCCCTTGTCTCATGCAGGGCTCAGCTTTTGCATCCAAAGGCTTGCTGAGATTGTGCACCAATATGTACAGTGCGCGCTGTGATAAGAAGATAGGATGGCTGGCATAGTACAGGTGCTGCCCTGCAAAGTCCCAGATGTCCATAATAAAGGATTCTTCTTTGAATGAACCACTTTTTGTGTCTTTGCTTTGGAGATACTCCAACCACTGATGAACATGCTTCACAGTATCAGGGGGTTGAGCAACATCAATAATTACCTTGGGCTCATCTGAGGTGCAGTCTATTGAGTGTTCAATGCTAATGTTGTGAGTAGCATCTACTGACAGGTTATCTCCTTTATCCTCAACCTGAGCAATGTATCAAAGGTGAAATTAATTACTTTAACCCTTTAACTCCCATGAGTGACCAAGACAGAATTTCTCCTTACAATATCAATACAATATCAACCAGATAAGTGATGAGAATATACAAGAATAACAATTTGGGGATAATAAGTTGATCCAATTCTAAAATCTCTGAACTACTTTTATACAAATTATGTACTTTATAGTAAGTAGAATGGCAAATTTGATCTGGGAGTGAAAGAGTTAAGTACCACAGTGATTCAGTTTAGCCAGCAAACTAATTACACGTCTGAAATAATTATGCCAAAGTTTGATGTAAATTAAATAAAATGAAAGTACTACACTGGGAGGGAAATTATTGTTTAGACTATGAGCAGTTCCCTGCTTTTTGGCTAAGACCATTGCAAAGTAAAAAAACAAAATCAATTAAAAAAAATAATAAAACAATCTTAATTTTTGCTTCACTTTAAGGTTTACATAATCTTTATTTGACATTAAGCATTTTGAACTATACTGTCATTAAAAAGCTGCCTTACACGTACTTGTAAAGAATGTTTTTAGAATTCTGACATCACCTTTTTTCTGCCATATTTGTAACCATCAAAAGATCCCTCTTCAAAATCTGCAGGTGAAATGTGGACTGAATCTTTCTCCAAATCTTCTTCTGAAGTTTTATCTTGTATAAAAATTTTCTCCACAACAGTCTTTGCCACATCTTTAGAACATTCCAACAGTCCTGGTTTAATCTCACCAATGGACTGCCAGTTCCTTGCAGCTTGGTCAACATCAATTTCACACTTTGAAGGATCTACTTCAATCCCCTCAGTGCTTTGTTCTTCAGAGTCAAATGGAAGGCCTAGGAGACTCTTCTTTAAACTGGTTTTACCAGCTCGATCCTGACCAATGAGTAATATTCTACTGCGGTAAACTGTGACATATCCATCTTTCAAAGCCCTTTCATAAGCCAGCTGTACTTTGCGTTGATCTGCTATTTGGTCTTATTAGAGAGTTTTCACAACACAAAGAAAAAAGAAATTTCTGCACTGAAAAATTTGTACAAAATAATTGAAAAAAAAGCAAAGTTAAAAGTTTACAAATCAACTACTATAAATATCCAACATGAATAATGTTTGAGTTAAAGGCTGGTATATAAAAACTAAACCATCACAAATTTTTTTTTCTGATATTAATGCATTAGTGAGTTTGGAAAACACATTTATTCCACTCTCACATAAAAATTACACAGTCAATCAAAATAATTCTCCTGGCATAAAATGTAGTGATGAGTTTGGTGAACATGCACACCAAAACTAAACTGACTCAATGTTTTATAACATTAAGAATTAGAACCACTTGTGACTGATCACACAAAAGAGAGAGGCAATGACTTAAATCAATTCTTCTAAGTAGTGAGGAGTCAATAACCAATTAATTGTTGGTAAAAGAGAAAGAAAAAGTGCTTATATCCAAAAGGTAACAACTACAAGTGTAAAAAAACATTGCACAAAAATCACCAGTGATATGGAAATAACAATCAGAATTTAGTCATGCTTAAAACAAATTCAAGTTCTATTCCTGTAACTTAATTCACAAATTGTATTAGTTTATAAATTTTGTTTCACAAGCTACAAGTTATTCAATTTTTGAACACTTTCATTGAATCAAATAGAAAGCAAAAATAAAACAACAATTTCTATTAATGAAATGACTTGGGATACATTTTATCCTTTCTTTATTCCAGTCAAATAGAAAGCAAAACTCAAAACAATGATGCCTAACTGCATAGAATGATTTGTAATAACATTTACTCTCTTGATTCCACATCAAATCATATTTCCTTATTGATGAACTTAAATTTCAATGTCAGCCAAATTGTTAAAATAAAGCTTTCCAATATAGAACATAAACTTCCGTTACAAATGTCATGTATTTCTCAAGTGATGCCAACTTTGTTAAACCACACAAAAACTGACAGTATTTACAGTTTACCTATCGCCAGCTACCTGTAATAATCAGTAACAAGCAGAATAACCACTTGCAAGTCAATCATTTGAACCAATTTAGTAAATGCACATGTCACAACAATAATGTGAACAGAAATTTCCTTTACTCACCTTGGAGATCTGAATATACTCGGCCAATTATTCCTCTATCTTCTAGCTCCGCAACACTTCTCATTCCTTCAACTGTAAAAGGATTCCCATTTACAAACAACCATTCGAGTTTCTTCAGCTGTTTTATAGCTGGACTCAACACAGTCAATTGGTTGTAACTCAGATCCAGTCCCTCCAGTGCCACCATCTCACCAATAGCATCAGAGATGGTGGTTAGTTTGTTATGTGAGATGTGCAGCCATTTGAGTTTCTTCAGCTGTGTTATAGCTGGACTCAACACAGTCAACTGGTTGTAACTCAGTACCAGTACCTCCAGTTCCACCATCTCACCAATAGCATCAGAGATGGTGGTTAGTTTGTTATGTGAGATGTTCAGCCATTTGAGTTTCTTCAGCTGTTTTATAGCTGGACTCAACACAGTCAACTGGTTGTAACTCAGTACCAGTCCCTCCAGTTCCACCATCTCACCAATAGCATCAGAGATGGTGGTTAGTTTGTTACGTGAGATGTTCAGCCATTCGAGTTTCTTCAGCTGTGTCAAACTTGCTGGGAATATGGACAGCTGGTTTCCGCTTACATCAAGTACCGTAATATTATTTAGTTTTCCAACATTTTCAGGTATTGTTTTAAGTTTATTCACTGACAGGTTAAGTATGTCCAACTCAGTTAACTCCAGCACCGCTTCAGGCAATTCAAGCAAATCCCACGCTAACAGATTTAATGTTTTTCTTCCGAAACGATCTGTTACAATCTTACTTCTTAGCTTTTCTTTAGAAATATGGGAATCCATGTCTTAGTAATGTAACTGTCAGAACGAAAAAAACAAGTTGTCATTAAAGGTGAGTAACTTGAACTAACTTTCTTGTGGCATTTATAATAACAATCGAACCAAAAATGGCAAAAATGAGGTTTATAATTTAACATCTACTGAACCAAGGTAATGATTTATTCCTCGTAGTACATTATCTTTGGAAGCCATCCACCCTTCAGTGTTCTTTTAAACATTTTGAGTAAAGGACTTATGCTTATGCGTAAAGGCTCTTGAGTTATTTATTTTCATCAGAAACATTTCAACTTAAATCTAATTGTATAATTTTTGTGTTCATAAACAATTGCTTGAGTTATATATGTTAATGAAAAGGCAATTATGAACAAGAGAGATATTTGAATTTAAATCCACTGAGTTTTCCAAGCTGTTTTTCCAAAAACATACGGATTACTACTTCCATTTCAAAATTAATATCCAACAGGAAAGAAATAATTAGTGCAAATCTATGGTTGGTTTTGTTTTCATGTGATAACCTAAGACAGTTGTAAATAAACCAAAGCATGAATGATTTCTAAGGTGTAGATATTCAGAACAAGTTGCTAATTTTCAGATCTGTTGTTTGATTTTATCCTCTGTAAGCTATTCTTACTTGTAATTAACAGAGTGAATTCATCAGAATATGGTCCTAGTTATTTAATAAAGACTGGTTGGATAAGTCCTTCTCACTGACATATTCACTGTTTTGATACAAAAATAATCAGAATGAGAGCTCTTTGTTTTGTTTCGTTTTTTTTACAGAGTTTTCTAGCAGCATGATGGTTTTAAGATTACAATTTTCAATTGAAGACATGTTTTGCATGAAATATCATCCAAATCACCCATAGTTGCTGTACTCATTATGTTATGTATTGAATGTTGTTGATGAAATAAAAAAATAACAAAGAGTAGAGGAAACTGGTTGTAATTTTTTATTCATGTTTATCAATAAAAGCTTAACTAAGAAGGGAATGTGAAAAGAAAAAGTATATATCAATTAACTGAGGATAGTGATAAAGAACTCAATTGGTACTAAGCAGAAAAATGAGGAATTGAAAAAAGTGTCCATAATTAGAACTGGCCACCTATGAGAGTGTCCATTAGCAGAGAGTTGACTGTAAAATAAATTAAGATCCTTCATTAATTAACAAATCTATCAAGGACTGTCTCCAAATCTTTACAAATTGTGCCTGGTTTTTTGAATATTTAATTTTCAGCAAAATGAATTCAAGTTAAAAATTTTACAATTGCAATCATTAACCAACATCAAAACTCATGTATAACATATTTATTTAACCCTTCACCTTGCATGAGTGACCAATACAGGAATTATCCTTGCAAAATATTAACACAACATCAAGCAGATATTGTAAGTGATATGAACAAAGGAAAATATCAGTTAGAGGATTATTAGATGATCCAATACCAAATTCTCCAAACTTACATCATAAGAATGGTATGGCAAACAGTAAGGAGAATTACTAAAGAGATCTTGGGAGTGAAAGGGTCAAGGGAATGAGAGTGTTTATCTAAGAACAAAATGATTCATGTCCCCAAATATGTACTGAATGTATTTGTTGCTTTCTCAAAAGAACAAGTTATGGTTAAAAAGAACTCAGGGTTGACTTGAAAAAAAAAATGCAACAATTTTGAAACCATGGATCTTTAATATTGGCTACCCCCTCTCAGTGCAATAAAAAAAATCCTTACTTCCTTTTCAGGGCTTAGCAATTTTCAAATATCAGTATTTAAAAATGTTGAGGAGGAAAAACTTTTATCTGAAAATATAACTTTTCATCTGTTAATCAAAACTATAACAAAATTCTTCAACATGATTGGTTATCACCAGCCCAATTTGAGCACTTATAGTACAGTGTATGTGTCATACTTGTAATTAGACAGTGTAATAGAACAGTTAAAGGGACAATTAACATGTCATACCTGTGGAAGTGGAAAGAACGCATCATGTGCACACACTGTTGTCCTGGATTTTGCCAAGTTAATTGTTGTTGTTTTTTTTTATTAAAATGTATAAATGTATAATGCATGTCTAGTTTATTTCTCCAATTTTTTTATATTGTGATTAATTGATAACAGTCGTCTTATTTGTTAATCAAGAATATTATTACAAACAGAATTGGACAACGGGAAGTCCGGTGAACAACCATGGCAGAAACATGGATGACCGTGGTCTATCCATGGTCTTGACGCCGGAGTAATAAGTGATTATTGAATGAGGTTGAGCATGATGTCAAAAACTGAATGAAATAATTGTTTTATTATAATTTTTGAGGCATTCAGCTATTTTGAGCATCTCTCTAGGTTTGCAAAAGGTTGAGAACACTAAACTCTAAGGTCTTGGAAACTAGGCAGACATTGATCTCGAGAAGATAAATGCAGTATAAGCCTCAGCTATTGCATTTTATCATGTCAACTTCACACACTATTGTATATTGATTGAATGCTCTCGACCAATCAGCTTTTTCATTGTAAATCTTATGTATAATGATCAAAATTATTGAATAGGTACAGGGAAGTTTTTGTTCTTTTCGCAAACAAGAGACAACTGGCCATTTAATACTGGAATTGAAATTTTTTGGCTTAAAATGCACATTAAAAGTATGATGTGGTTACTTATACATCTTACTGAGAGTGATTGTCAATGAATCACAAACAACTGAGTTCAAAGGTTTCTAAGAATTTTAATTGCATGTATCTTTTCATTGTCAGAGTTTCCCCCGCCACACTCCTTTGTAAAACTCAGTCACATAAAAATATTTGGCCTTTTCACACATCAAGAATAATATCAAAGTTTTTTCACGCTCACGCATTTGAGACATTTCACATGAAAGTAAAAAGCCAAATTCCCTAACTAAATTTTCAATTTCCTAGTCTTGACCAGTCTCAAGAAACAAATGATGACAGAATGTCTTACATTATTTGTTCAAGGACCATTAGAGGTCTGTTTTATGACTTTTATTGATCCATATAGAGTTCCTGTCCTGTCCAAACCCAGGTCAAAACTTAACCACAACCGTTCTTGAACAATTCATTTTCAAAACAATTAAAAAGCCGGGAATTCATCACGGAAAACAAAATGGTTCACGAGTCACGTTTAATTCAGTTCTTCACACTCGAGTCACGTTTTATCTATATTGAACATAATTCTTACCAACTAACAAGTGCAGCGAACAACCAGCAATCAAATAAGGACTGTAGACAATCTTGGATCGGTATGGACACTCCTTAATTAACTTCCACAAAATACTTCAGGCTTCTGAAACGTCACGCGACTAAGGGCCTGTTTTACATGGAGTTACCATGCCGAAAAGAGCATAACGCATAAATTATGACTGATTATGCAAAAGGTTGCACTATATAATTGTCACCATCGCACTCGCACAGCGCGCACACCCATGCAATTAGCATAAGCACGAACATCGCACTTTGTATAAGTTATAAAGATTTCGTAATGAATAAAAGTTGTCAGTTCTAACATGGAATTGAGCAAATAACATGGTGGCAGCGGTTCTGGTTAATTATTTCTCAAGGAATATTTGCATATAGCGATCTACTGGCCAAGTTCTCTCCGGTTTAAACCAAGACGACTTCAAACACATCGTTTCCAGAATTCAAAACAACGGGAGAAGAAAAGCACGACCTGGATACCTACATCAAAGATATGATAGATTACTGTTTAATGCAAAATTGGTACAATATTTTGAAAGAAAGTGAAGCAGCCATGTGGACGAATCACGATTCACGAATTGGGAAAAAATCAAATCACGATCCACGAGAGAAAAAAAATCGCCTAATCATGCTTCGCGTAAAAAGTATAAGGGACCCTCTTGTCAATCACTGAAGCAGACAGCGAGCAAGTTTAATTTATTTTGTCAAACACCTGACATACCTGCATTTAATTTAGATCAAATCAGTCAAGCATTAATTTGGTTACTTTACAGATTTAAGAGGTTTTGAGTTCGTTTCTAACTTCTGCCAGATGAAATCAAGTACAATCCATGGAATTAAGCGAGTATTTTGTCATCAGTTCAAACACTTCCATTGCTCAACGTGAAAAACTGAAAAATAATCGACGTTGAACAATTACCAGACAGAATGATTAACGATCAGAGCTGATTGACGTCAGCACGATCAGAAACAGTTTTTTCTTTATTCTTTCCATTTCTACGAGAGTATTCTTTCTAAACTTCCCGTTAAGGCCATCTTAACTCACAATCACTGTTTTCCTTTTCCCTGTTGCTGAGAGTGTTTAACTTTAACCCGTCTGTTTCAGAAGGCCGACTGAACGCGCCTTTGTTTAACTTTATCAAAATCGTTTTGAGTCTTTGTGCTCAGCATTTGACGGGCGTCGCTACAGTTGTAATAGATCAAAAACCCAAAAACTTAGAATATAAAGGGAAACCAGCGAATATTGAAGATATCAGAGAGTTTGAGTGAACTGACAGAAATGACGGCAGAGGCACTTCAGGGCAAATGACTTCAGTTCGATCGAGCGGAGAGTGTGAGTTCTTAGCTGAATTATCTTTGTTCGCGTTGCAGGAGTCTAGCGAGGCTACACTTTACAAGTGAGCTAAATTCTTATCTATATTAAACAGAATTCTTACCTCTCAGCAGTGTGAACAACAACTGCAGCGGACAAACAGAAATGAACTACAGATGGTAGACAAACAGACAGCTTAGCTCGGTATGGACACTCCTTAATGAAGAGCCTGTTTACATGGAGTTACCATGCCGAAAAGAGCATGACGGATAAAAAATGAATGATTATGCAAAAAGTTGCACTATGTAATTGTCACCATCGCACTCGCACAGCACGCACACCCATGCGATTAGCATAAGCACGAACACCGCACTTTGTATAAATTATAATGATTTCGTAATGAATAAAAGTTGTCAGTTCTAACATGGAATTGAGCAAGTAACATGGTGGAAGCGGTTCTGGTTGATTATTTCTCAACGGATATTTGCATATAGCGACCAACTAGCCAAGTTCTCGGTAAAATTTCCGCACAGCCCTATACTTCATTATGCATTCAGTTCTTGAATAGAGAAAACAATGACTAAAACAATACATGGGAAAACAGATTTGTTTTACAATAGTATGGGGCTGTGCGGAAATTTTGTTCTCTCCGGTTTGAACCAATATGACTTCGAACACACCGTTTCCAGAATTCAAAACAACACGAGATAAAGCACGACCTGGAAACCTACATCGAAGATTTGATAGATTACTGCATAATGCAAAATTGGTATGATACATCGAAAGAAAGTGAAGCAGCCAAGTGGACTAAGTCTGATAAAGCTATGGCATGCCTCAGGGCATTTTTATCTCCTGCGGTTAGAACGGTGTACAAATATAGTCTGGGTCGAACATAGGCAGCCCAAGCTCCAGCTGTGTGATAATCATCTTACGAAATGACCGTCATGGCGAAATTAGAAGAGTTTTTATGGGAATATTTACGACCGCACTAAGGAATAAAAAAATAGGTCAAATTCTCACAAAAAATACCTCACCTTACTTTCACAATGCATTACCTGTTATCTGACCGCTTACTACCTTGAAGAGAACCCATTTTAGCGAGTTATCTATTTCGAGGTTTTCTACGTACATAAGAAAAGAGGGTCTCCAATAGGTTTCTTCAATCCCGCGATCCCGACTAAAATTTTCTCTCAATCCCGTAATCCCGATGGTTTATACCGGCGAATTCCGATCCCGCTCATATATTTTTTACCTAGTCCAATACTTCAACTTAAAAGGGCCTACTAGTTAAGTGGTATTCTTAACTGCGAGGATCGCTTTTATATTCGTTTCTTTAACGGCAGTTCACACTTATATGATTTTCATATATTTGCATTCATTTACTCACCACTTGGAGGGTTTATTTATTTAAAACCAACATGATGACCAGCTCCCAGTAGGCTTGTTAGCTCAGTTTGTAGAACGCTGAACTGGTATCGTAGAGCTGATGGGTTCAAATCCCGTACGGACCTGAATTTTTTTCAGGTCTTATTTTCACTACTATCTGAGTAGTATTCATAACTGCGAGGATCGCTTTCATAATCATTTCTTCAACCGCAGTTCACATACTGGTATATATGATTTTCATATATTTTCAGTCATTAAAGGGGCGTTTTCGGTGGGTCAGTGATGATTTTCTCAACCAGTATTGATCCGTTGAAGTCTTTGCTCACCGTCAGGCGTAAGTTTTATTCCACTGAAACGATGTTACTGTTCGTTTTAGAAGTTTTGCGCGAATAACGTACGCTAGTCACAGTTACGACTTCCTTCTGTTTAACTTCGATCACGGAAAAGCGTATTAGTAAAAGACAGGTCAGTATTAAAGACATGAACAGCAAAAACAAAAGGTGACGACAATCCCATAGTTCCATAACAAGGAAAATGAAGAAAAATTAACTGCTGTTGAAGCGAATACTTCTTCTGAGGCGAGAAACTCTTCTCAGGAGAAAATTTGCCTCTCGTTCTAAAGATGAAATCTCACCAACATCACATGCGGTCTCATCGTCGGCTGATTGTTCATCGCTGCTTGAGGAATCGTACTCTGACATCCCATCTTCATCTCGAGGTCAAAGCGTTCTAGGCTGACCGGCTCACCCGGTTGAATTTCTCTCTGATAGAGGTACGATGAGAGAGAGTTCCAGCTCTCCTGTCTGACAGAACGCTGACGCACTGCAGCACCAAATGTTTGCGCCCAGTCCCTCATCTTCTGTACGCTCTGTGGTGCCATCGGTACAGGTGGTAATGGTTAAGTTACTGATAAGGCTGGCAGGATCATAGCACGTTCGGGTACAACATACCAAGACTTCAGATTCGTAAACAAGTACGCCGCCCAATGGTTTGCCCTGCTTCTGAAGCCTTCCTTGTCTTCGTTTCCAAAGTCTCTCGCGTAGTTCAACAGCTCAGCAGGTTAAGAGAGTCATATCGGTGTGATTCTGAGACTTGCTGGAGGTTTTCAAGGCCGTATTAAGCATTTCAACAGACACAACAGTCTGAGATGACACGTTACCGTGTGGGCCATTGAGGGTTTTTGGTAAATTGGCAACCTCGCTTCTAAAAAACAAGACCTACTCCTCTAATATGCACCAAGACTTAACTTCTCGCTAATGAACCAAGGAAGATGAAAAAATATATTTCATAGCTCCTGGAAACGGTAATTTTTCCAGAAAAATTAAAAAAACTCGAGATGATTCTGTATTCACTGCGGAAACACCTCACCCTCATAGTGTAATTTTTTCCTTTTTCTTCCCCCTTGTTATCTTTATAATTCACACGCGCTCAAGGCAGCTTGTTGCACATTCTAAAATTGGCTCTTGCACTCACCAACGTGCGTTGGCATTTCGACCGAGTTTACGGCTTAATAAGTTACCAAATTTAATGTGTTAAGGAGATGTGCTTCGCGCGCACTTCGGGTTCCGCTATGCAGAGACGATGAACGTCGTTTCACGTCAGGGAATGGGAAAGAAATTTTATTTATCAATTATAAATGGTGAGAATTTTTATGCAGTCTGATTGCATATTATTAGCCCCAAATAGCTTCACTTTATAATGGATAGTCCTAGTGTATCTTGTAAATTAAAAAAAAAATCCGACATGAACCATAAGTAGCGTAGTAAGTAGTGTTTTAGTGCTAAAGTACCAGACGCACTCTTTTAATTAGCAGCCTTACAGCGCTGTTTATTCAACTGGCTTAAATTACGAAAATTATCAAAAATTACTGACAAAAATTTGTATTAACACAATTTTTACTGCAGGATCGTAGCAGGGGGAGAGTTCTGAGTTACCCGTTGCTCCTCTAATTTTTTATTTCGCAGCCCATGAAATTAAGATGCATATTTTCTCTCCGAAAAAAAGACACAACGGTGGAAAGAAACAAATATGGCGCTGACAGTTTTTACTGACTCGTATTGACTCAAGTTTAACGGTTTACACTTCATTTTTGAATTTGAAGATAGCGTTTCATGTGCAATTTATTTCGCCTCATAAACCGAACCGGATTTGCTTTATGAGGGTCTCAGTGGGGAGATGGCTTTTACCGCTAACGGTTAAAATTTTCGCCAATTTACTGCTAACGGTTAACACCTTTCCATTGTTTCCACCAGGCATATTTTTTACGTTAAACTTTTTTTTACGACTAACGGTTAAAAGTTGTCAGTTTTTACGCCTAACGGCTAAATTTTTTGGCCGTTTTACGGCTAACGGTCAACCCCATTGAGACCCTACTATATTGCAACAATTTTTTGTAAGAAATATTATCTTTTTGGTATAAATAACTTCTTATTTATTCATATAGATGGATGCTGATATATTCAGAATCAGTTGGGGGGGGGGGGAAGCAAAGGCCTTGGCGAGATTCTTCCATATAAGTTTAGGAAATCGCGGCTCGTCTGTAACGGATACGAGTGATGCTTCTAAAGTTACTTTCATTGCATGAGCCGTGGGCGGTTGATATTTAAAACCATCATTATCGCCACCACCATCAGGATCTTAGCAAGACGAGGGCAACTAGGGCACCTTGATTGTATTAAAAAAAAAACAGCTTTAACGACGACTTAATCCGACAAAACACTCGCCTAACTAACGCAACTACCGAAAGAAATGGCACCACACCTCCTACAGCGACTGTACCGTAAATAAAAGGCATGTCCGATAACATCCTACAACCCTTCAATATCCGCGTCGCCCACAAACCCATCACTACACTACGTCAGTTACCAACAAACATCAAAGACGAGGACGAACCGAAGAACAGACAGGAAGCAGTTTATAAGATCAGCTACTCCAACTGTCAAGCCCCCTTCATCGGAGAGACTGGCAGAAACAAAAAGTCCAAAGAGTTCGTCTTTGAAGATATTTTTTTTTTTTAATCATTATCTTTTTTTTTTTTTTTTTTTAAACACTTACACTACTGACAGTATTAATTACACTTACATTGTACTTGCTACTTACACTACTGATACTTATACTTACACTAATCGTCTTTGAAGATATTACATGAACAGGCCGTCCGTTGATTTCCAGTGCCTCTCGGTCAAACCTGGAGCTTCCAGCTGAGACAGAATTTTCAAACGAGTGTAGGTGGACAGGCGGTGAACGGCTTTATTCTATCAGATCTGCAGAGAATATACTCGCTGACGGAAAGTACCTTTATGTTAGCCTCCAATGGCAAAGCCTGATATACTTAATTACAGTAAAAAGTTTCCTACATTTATGTTATTGTAAAATGTAGTTTAAACGTTAAGTGAGAGACAAAACCAAGGACCACATTGTAAACCAAAAGCAAGCGAAGAACAAAACTAGAAATACACACAAGAAAAAGTTAACGGCAAAAGAAAAGTTAAAGATCAACATAAATAAACAAGAACCGGAAACAAAAAAAAAAGCATAAGCCTGATTGCAAAGCCGTTACGAGCGAATCTTGTATTCGACCACACTTCATGCCAAGGGGAATATTACCATCGTCGCAACCCGAGGTACGTCTGGTTTCTCGCACTCAATTGGCACCGTCATTTTTTCGGTCTTAGGTTGGTGCAATCTCTTTCTTTGTGTCGAAATGGCGGCAAATTGCCATGCGATGGGATTTGGCAAGAACTCCAAGCAGAACAAGCGCTCCAGTTTCCGTCACTAGGTTTTGGTTTATCGCCCCAATTTGGCCAAGGCCATATA